TATCATATATATCATTGATATATGTTATAAAGGCAATAATACAGAATTGTAATTTATTACTTTATATGTTCTATGTCCTTTAAAGAAACTCAGAGAGGAGAAAAACTATATTCATAGAATATTTTATATTGACCTACATATTTACCATTTGTGGTACAAGCATACCTTGTTTCACGGTGCTTCACTTTATTGCACTTCACAGATATTGCATTTTTCGCAAGACCCTCAACCAGCAAAAATATTTGGACTAGCTAATGGCTCAGATGATGGTTAGCATTTTTTAGAAATAAAGTATTTTTTAATTAAAGTATGTACATTGTTTTCTTAGACAAAATGCTATTGCACATTTAATAGACTACAGTATAGTGTAAATGCAACTTTTATATGCACTGGGAATCCAAAAAATTTCTGTGATGACTCACTTTCTTATGGTATTTGCTTCATCGCAGTGGTCTGGAACCGAACCCTCAGTATCTCCAAGGTGTGCCTGCATTGTTCATTTCTTTCTGTGGATTTGGTTACCATCTGGCGTTATTTCCTTACTTTGTTATAGCTCATTCCCTCCTCCCTCTTTTGTACTATTATTTTCATATATATTACATCTTTAAATAATCCCAAAATACAATTTTATAATTATTATTTTATGTAATCAAATTCTACATTAGCGAAGAGAAGAGAAAAATATATACATTTATGCTATATATATATTTTTTTAAAGATTTTATTATTTCCTTTTTCTCCCCAAAGCCCCTCGGTACATAGTTGTATATTCTTCGTTGTGGGTTCTTCTAGTTGTGGTATGTGGGACGCTGCCTCAGCATGGTTTGATGAGCAGTGCCATGTCCGCGCCCAGGATTTGAACCAACGAAACACTGGGCCGCCTGCAGCGGAGAGCGCTAACATAACCACTCAGCCATGGGGCCAGCCCCCATTTATGCTATATTTTTAACTTGTCTATATACTTACCTTTTTCAGTGCTGTTTCTTTGAGTGGATTTGAGTTACTGTCTGGTGTCACTTCCTTTCAGCCTGAATTTTCTTCACTATTTCTTGTAGTGCTTTGTCCCCTAGCAAAAAATTTTCTCAGTTTTTATTGCTGTGGGAATGTCTCTATTTCTCCTTTTTTTTACAGGATAGTTTTCTTGGATATAGTATTCTTGGTTGACAGTTTTGTTCTTTCTTCACTTTGAATATGTCATCCTGCTGCCTTCAAGCCTCCATTGTTCTGATGAGAAGTCACCTGTTAATCTTATTTTGGTTACCTTGTATGCAATGAACCTATTTTCCCTTGCTACTTCCAAGATTTTTTGTCTTGGATTCTCAAGAGCTTGACTATGATGTGTCTAAGTCTGGATCTCTTTGTGTTTATCCCACTTGGAATTGGTTGAGCCCTTTTTTGACATGTTTTTAATCAAATCTGGAAATTTTCAGCCATTATTTCTTCAAATATTCTTTCTTTCCTTTTTTCTCTCTCCTCTTCTCTGAGATTCCCATTACACGCACATTAATTTACTCAATGTTGTGCCCCAGTCTTTGAGGCTGTTCATTTTTCTTCATTCTTTTTATTTTTCTTTCTGTTCTTCCAACTGGATAATCTCTATTAATACATCTTTAAATTCACTGATTCTTCTGCCAACTCAAATCTACTTTGATACTCTGTAGTGAATTTTTCATTTCAATTATTTATTAACTCTGGAATTTCTATTTGGTTATTTTTTTCTAATGTCTATATCTCTTTATTGTTATTCTTTATTTGATATGTTATTGTGCCATATTTTCCTTTAATTCGTTAAGCATTATTTCCTTTAGTTCTGTGAACATTTGTGGAACATATGCTTTGAAATATTTGTCTGCTAAATTCATAATCTAGAGTCCCTCAGAGATAGTTAATTATTGACTGCTTTTTTCCCTGTGTATGGCTCACATTTTCCTGGTTTTTTTTTTTTATTGTTGTTGCTAAAAATTGGAAATTTCAGGTTATATATTATAGCAACTCTGGATTCTGATACTCTCCCTGGGGAGGTTGCCATTGCTCTTTGTTTTCATGACTTTCCTCACCTCATTCTCTGGAGTCTTCCCCTACAGTGTTCCGCCTCTGATGATATGTCATCTCAGTTTTTACTTTTAATCTTGTTTTTATTTTTAAGCCTAGTTTCCTAAGGGTCTCTGGGGTCAGCATAGCTTAACTGTCAGCTGTGATTGGCCAAAGGTTTGCTAAAACACTTGAGCAAGTAAATCTTCTACCCTTTGCTGTTTAATCTGCTGTGGCTTAGGGAATGCTTTCAAGGTACAGAGAATTTACAAGTCCTCCCTAGTTTTTACTTTCTGCATTCACAAGGCTTCACATTTAGTGAATATCTTGGTAAGAACCTCTCAGCTTTCTTCTATAGCTTTCTTCTTATTCAGTCTTGAATATACACACAGTCTTCTAGACCACCTGGAATAAGTGGGCCATAGCAAGACTCTGCTTGTCTCTTTCTCCAGATCTTTCTATTAAATTTCTGGCTGGTCTGCTGTTTTGTTGATTTTCCCAACCAGTATGGATTCTATGCTAGCATTAAGCTGCCCTAATTGTTTACTACGGCATTTCTCTTGTTTTTGACAACATTGCTGGTCATAGAATTTTCCATGCTTTGCTCCAAATACAGTTATCCACACCCCTCTACACCCCCAAAAGCAAGACAGCAGAGCTAGAAATCCTTAGGGCTGTCCTGCCTTCCCAGTTAGAACTTCCACACTGTGGAACTAAGGGATGAGGGAGTAGGAGCAACCCCCTGCTAAAATGTCACAGACTCATTATTCTTATTGAAATTTAGTAGATTTTAAAAAAATTAAATGCTTTTCATGTGTTGTATGTCTTTGATCCAAGTTGCTGTTTGTGATGACTCTGACCACTTTTATTAGTGCTTTTTGCAGAGAGCGTTTCCCAGTTTCCTCAGTCTGCCATTTTGGAAGTTGATCCACCCATATTTTCTTTTTTGTTTTGTTTTGAGGAAGATTAGCCCTGAGCTAACATCCACAACCAATTCTCCTCTTTTTGCTGAGGAAGACTGGCCCTGAGCTAACATCCCTGCTCATCTTCCTCTGCTTTACATGTGAGATGCCTGCCACAGCATGGCTTGCCAAGTGGTATGCAGGTCCACACCCAGGCAACCAGTGAAACCCTGGCCGCCCAAACAGAACATGTAAACTTAACCGCTGTGCCACCAGGCTGGCCCCTGATCCACCCATTTTTTGAACTGTAAAGTGGAAGCTTTGGCCAAGACCCTAAGATATAAGACCTAATATATCAAATACTAAAATGGATTGTGATACAGCCTATCTCTTTACATTTTGAAAAAAGCTGGCGGATAAGAACATTATTTAACTCTGAGACCCCAAAGATACTTCACAAGTATTAAAGGATTGGAAGAGTAGAGCTGTGGGGAAGATTTGGGAAGAGTTTTTTGCTCTTGTTGTTATTTGTTTGCTTGTTTGTTTTGGAAGCATTGCTTGGAGCAGAACCCTTCTTCCTTTGGTGAAGAGATCCAGGAGGAATATACCTCCTAAGCCTCAATTGGAGAAGGGCCTTTAAGAAGACTACTCAGAAAGTTTATCAGAGGGGTTAATACGTGTCTCCTGCAGTAGGCTGGTATCTAGTCATGCTTGAGACATATAAAGGGATGCATGTAGCAGAATAGAGAGTTTCATATGGCAAGTAATTGCATTCTCAGAGTCTATTGGAAGAAAGGATATACTTATGAGTATTCTCCATGGACTAAAGAGAACTCTTTCGTCTTATACCCTATACAAGGGGTTTGCTTGATATAGTGAAGGAGCCTCAGAAGAAGACCTATGGACGTGGACCACAGGATGCGCTGGGATTGTAGAAGAAAGCATAAGACTCCAGTTAGAATAGAGATGCATTGGTACATGTCAGAGAGTACAGGGAAGACCATTTCAAAAATACAGTGTCTCAGAAGAATCCACAAAAGCATCCATGAGAGAAAGAATCATCTTTAACATGTACCAGGCCCAGAGATCACAAAGCCAGCTTACAATAGTACTGTGAAGTAATAACATTTTTGCCCCCTTATCTCTCCCCTTCAACCTTCTCCAACCATGAGGGGTTAAAAATCAGAGGTTTCACGTTTGGAAGGTTTAGACTGTAGGCAGAGGAGAGAAATCAGTGACCTCACCCTTCCCTATAGGCTCTAGCTGGGGGAGGAGACAAACTTCAACTCTACATCAAGTTTAATTTTTGATGAAGATATAGGCCTAGTATTTTAACTTCTGAATTCATTAAGAAAAAAAATATATCCAGTTGTTAAAAGAAAATTTCTGATCAAGGTAGAGAAGAGCGGGCACTGAATGAATTTAAGGAACAAAAGAGAGTTGCTGTAGGATTAAATGCTATGAGTCATTTTGTTTAGCATTTATTTACCTTGTAGTTTCTAAGCTAGTAGACCTGAGCAGTTAGCTATCTTAAGCATATTTCCTGCTTTTGGCTTTAATCTCAGGGGAACCTCTTTCCAGGTCTTGCTGCAGGATACAGTAGTGACAATAGTGCTTAATAGTTAAGTGGTGAACACAGAGATTATGAATGGAGTTGCTGGAAATGAGAACAGGAAATAAAGTTGCTGACACCTAACTGTGGGCACCAGCAGCAGAGTTCCTCTAAACATTTTAGTGCTAGTTTCAACCCTTCTAGAATTTCACTTGTTCTGCTTTTTCTTCTTCTTCTTTTTTAACTAGAGACTGATATTTAACATTTTTGATATTAAGAATAGTTAGGAGTGAATAAGAGGGACATCAAAATAGAGTGCCAGTACTTTTCTGTGAATTTCCTTCATATATAACCCCGGCATTGAGTAATATTTATCTATGCAGCCATCCATATCGGCATCCAACAAATATTTATCTTGAACCTACTATATTTTAGGCACTGTGCAAGGCACTAGGGATAACTCTATGAACAAGATAAGTATGGTCACCGACTTTATACATCTTCAATTCTCTCAGGAAAGGCAGACATTGTACAAGAGGAACGAAAGGTTTGAAGGAGAATTACAACGGCAAATGGAACCAGTAACAGGCAGACCAAACATACTCTGAAGGTCATGGAGTCTTCCCTATGGGAGTGACATTTAAGCTGAGTCCTGAAGCATGGGTGAGCTTGATCGAGGTGAACAGTAGTTGCCTACAAGGCCCTACATGATCTACCGCACTTATATTTCCAACCTGTGTATCATAAGCCACCTTCGCTTTTGTTCACCATTCGCCAGCCCCTTGTCTTCTCTCAGTTCTTCAAAATGCCTGCCTGGGGCACTGTATTCTAAACCCATCGCCTCCTCACCCTCTGCAGTTAGCTTCTTTCCAGAGCCCAGGCCTCAGGTTATTCTCTAGTTCTGCTTCTTGCTTGTTCCCATAATTTTATACATCTCTATTTCTAACAGTTTCATTCATTTCTTGGATTACTTGTTTTCTGACTGCCTTCTAGACATGTAAGCTCCAAGAGGAAAGGGAATGTATCTAACTCATTCATTTTTGCCTCTCCAGACACTGGAACAATTCTTGATGCATAGCAGTTATGCCTTAAATATTTGTTGAATAAATGGATGGACAGAAGAGGTAGGTTACAACCTTGAGTGGAAGACAGTATGACACGTCTGAAGAAAGGAAAGAAAACCGTAGAGAAACACACAGAAAGAAAAGGAGAAAGTGGTGGGATAAGGTGGAGGAGATAGATAGAAATCCAATCTCGAAGTCTTTTAGACCAGCATTTTCAAACTTCTATTAGTGGGTCATGAAATCAATTTAGTGGGTTGCTACCAAATTTAAACAAATGAAGGGGCCAGCCCGGTGGCGCAGTGGTTAAATGCACATGTTCCGCTTTGGCAGCCCGGGGTTTGCCAGTTCGGATCCCGGGTGTGGACATGGCACCGCTTGGCAAGCCATGCTGTGGTAGGTGTCCCACATATAAAGTAGAGGAAGATGGGCACGGATGTTAGCTCAGGGCCAGTCTTCCTCAGCAAAAAGAGGAGGATTGGCAGCAGATGTTAGCTCAGGGCTAATCTTCCTCAAAAAAATAAATAAAATAAAATAAACAAATGAAATAGAATAAAGGTCAGGGTCCATTGTTCTTAGTAAAACTGCCATATCAAATTTGCTTCCACATTTTATTTATATAGGTGTGTATATATATTCATATATTGTGATGTAAAAAGGTTTTCTGTTTGCTTTGCAGTAAATAGGTACAAAAGCCACAGCTGTAGGCCATGTTAAAAATTTCTGACTTTATCCTAAAGGGAGAGTAAATCACTGAAGATATTTTCCCAGAGGAGTAGGTTTCAAGATTCCCTTCCAATTGTAGACGTTAATCATAGAAAGTGATATTACTTTTAGCAACATGTAACCATGAAGTACCAGACCAGGCTGCATTTATTGACACTCTTAGATTACCTACTGAAGGCAAAAGCTATGCCTTATTCACCATTGCATTCCCAGGGCCTACCACAGATTAGGGAGAAGATCTCTTGAGTAAAGCTGCTGTTTGTGAATTGAAAGTCCGTGGATTCCAGCAGATGCTCCTCTGCTGTGCCACTGTCATTAGTACTGTTTTTAAAATGGACAATTTTGGTGAGAATACCATAATCTTGTTTACATTTCAAGGTTCCACTGTGGATAGTATCAAGTAAAGAGTCTATAGGGCCACAAAATTTCATAATGCACATCTGTCTGGTTCACCAATTGCTCCCTAGTGCCTTGCATAGTGCAAAGTATATTGTAGGTATTTGTTGAATGATGAATCCGTCAAAATTTTCCAGTCACAACAATAATGACAACAGACAGTGCATCTTTCAAAGTAAATGTATAGTTATTGGTGGTCAGTCCATGTGATCTTGATTGTAAAAGAGAAATACACTGGGTATCTTTTATGGGAGAGGTGCCTTTCACTGTAATCAACTCATTAATCCTTACTACAACAGTTAAGTTAGTGCTATTCACGTTTATGGCAGAGTAAACTGGCCTGTGAAACTGGAGTTTGAATCAGGGTCTTTCTGATCCCACATCCAGTGGTGTTTTCATCAAATTATTCTGCTTCAATGAAGAAAATAGCATGATTTTCCCTCAGGCGTTGCATCCCTGATAGTACTGCCCTGGCATTGCCCTATAATTGTGTGGACATTCAGCTTCTGCAAAGGAAGGAGGCAGCTCTCAGGGATTGCTACTACTGCAGTGATTACAGGCCTCATGCTCTGAGGACCGGGAGCTCTATCATGTGCTTGAAAGAAGGATTCATCTTAAGAAATTACTTCTGAGGGGTAATGATATAAGGGGAATTTGGATGGTTAGACTGAGAATGAGGCTGGCTGTTTGCATAGTATATCATCCATAAGAATATATTCCACTGGCAGCTCTTGAGTATGAGCTGTACTCTGCCTTGGGAACTGATGTAGACATATCTTGAGTTTAATGAGCGTAAACACAACAGCCACACTGGTCAATTACGTCATTGCTGACAATTAAACAAGATATAATAGAAATCGCTCAGAAAATCCTGATAATAGGAAGTGCTAAATAGTTACCATCATATCATCTGATGTAGATATATATTTCTTGTGTTAGAAATTCAAATACAAATACCAAAGTGACAAATTATCCTATTGTAGTTTTGCCTATATCTTCTCATACTGTCGTTTCTTTAATGTGAAATGTAGTTAGTTGCAAGAATACTTAGAGCTTAATCAAAGGCACAGGATAGTGTGGTGGTAAGTGAACAATCATGTTTGTAATATGAGGATAATTAGGGGAAGATGATAAGAAGGAAAAGAGAAACTCATCCCAGACTTGATTAACAAAGTGAGATGACATAGAAGATAGAGATGAGGATAATATTATTTATGGATGAATAGTAAATAAACTTTCTTTTACTTGGTTAAAATGTTTTAGTATAACTGGTATTGAAAATTGTTCTTGTATAAATATATTCACTTATTTATTAATTTGTTCATTCATTCAACAAATATATATTAATTGGCCATATGTACCAACATAGGAGCTGGAAATATCATAAAGAATAAAACACAAAAAACATCTGCCTTCATGGAGCTTATATTCTAATTAAGGGAAAGGAGAGCGAGACAAAAAAGACTCAATGAAAACTTTATCGTAGATGTTAGATGGCAATAAAGCGAGAAAGTGGGGTTTCTGCCATTTTAAATAATATGGTTAGGGAAGACTTCACTGGAAAGATGATATCGCAGTAAAGATTTGAAAGTTATTGACATTAATAGCCAGATCCAAACAAAATAACAGAAATGTGATAGCTAAGGCAATTAGTGACTGGCTAATGTTATCAGCAAAATTTTTTAAAATTAGATTTAAAATAAGCAAATGCATGACAAAGATTATAGTAATTTATTATGATAAAATGAGAATGATGATTTGGCCTCATCTTGATTTAAAATGCTGCCTGCATTTTTATCCTGATGAAAATGCGCTATGAGAAGATAAAAATAATCAAGCTTTGGGAACCTAAGAAATAATTAAAGTAAATAAATTTTTTAATTTTTAAAAAGTTATTTTCCCAGTAAAAAGAATGATTCTTGATGAACCAGAATGAAGAAAGGGGATTCTCATTTTATATAATTTTTAAATAGGAGACAATGGGTGATTTTTATCTCTTATAGTATCACGTCATATTTCTCACATTAAAAATTGATGAAGGCAGACTGGGAGAAAATATTTGCAAAAGATACTCTGATAAAGAACTCTTATCCAAAATATACAAAGAACTTTTAAAAGTCAACAATAAGAAAACAAACAACCCGAATTAAAAAGTGGACCAAAAACCTTAACAGGTACCTCACCAAAGAAGATATACAGATGGCAAATAATCTTATGAAAAGAAGCTTCACATCATATGTCATCAGGGAAATGCAAATGAAAACAACAATGAGATACCATTACACACCTATTCGAATGGACCAGATCTGGAACACTGACAACATCAGATGCTGGTGAGGATGCGGAGCAACAGAAATGTAATATACCACCAGTAGGAGTGCAAAATGGTACAACCACTTTGAAAGGCAGTTTCGTGGTTTCTTATAAAGCTAAACATACTTTTGCCATATGATCCAGTAATCATGCCCCTTGGTATTTACCCAAAGGAGTTGAAAACTTATGTCCACACAAAAACTTGCACATAGATGTTTATAGCAGCTTTATTCACAATTGCCAAAATTTGGAAGGAACCAAGATGTCCTTCAGCAGGTGAATGGATGAGTACACTGATATATCCAGACAACAGAATGTTATTCACTGCTAAAAAGAAATGAGTTATCAAGCCATGAACACGGATAGAGAAAACTTAAATGCATGTTACTAAGTGGAAGAAGCCAGTTTGAAAATGCTGCATGTTGTGTGATTCCAACTATATGACATTCGGGAAAAGGCAAAACTATGGAGACAGTGGAAAGAGAGGTGGTTGCCAGGTGTTGGGAGATAGGGAGAGATGAAGAGACAGAGCACAGAGGATTTTTTAGGCATTGATATCATGCTCTGTGTGATATTATAGTGATGGATCCATGTCATTATACATGTGTCCAAACCCAGAGCATGTAGAACACTAAGAGTGAACCTTAAAGTAAACTATGGTCTTTGGGTGATGATAATGTGCTAATACAGGTTCATCAGTTGCAACAAATGTCCCTCTGTGCTGAGGGATGCTGATAATGTGGGAGCAGGTAGTATATGGGAAATCTCTGTATTTTCCTCTCAATTTTGCTGTAAACCTAAAACTGCTCTAAAAAATGAAGTCTTAAAAATAAATAAATAAATAAACTCCTTTTTGCTTGGGAAAAAATGATGAAGGAAGTGAGTTTTAAAAATCAAGGGTATATTATAAGATCCCATTTGTGTTAAAAATAACCTCAAATTCTCACTTCCTTTTTACTCTAAATATGTAAATACACATTGAAATAGTCTGGAAGGGTACACATGAAAATGAAAATAGTCATTACACTTTATTCACTTCTATACTTCATGTTTGTGACAATGAGTATGAATCATTTTTTATGATTTTTAAAATGGGATGTTTAAAAAGAAAAAGGTTTTAAAACTTTAAAATGTTTTATTTATTCTGAAATAAAAACATTTTAGAATTTACATACGAATCATAAATAATAAAGATATTTGAAAAGGTGTTCCAAATTAGATGTGATATATAAAATGCTAAAATATAAGTATGTGTTGTTAGGTCTCAAGGAAAAAGTCTATGATGGAAGAACAAAGACGTTCATTAACTAGTTTATTGGATTTTAAATAATATGGAGTAATTGTAGAAGAAAAAAGCAAAGTATAGAGGGTATCTTTACATTAAAATACTTTTTATTTAACTGCTTCCAAATTAAACTGGCACCTTAGAATGAACAAACATTTTTAAAATGTCAGCAGTAAAGTTGAAGTTGAACATGAATATACTTTTTAAATTTTTCGCGAATAGCTAAGATGAAAAATATTCCTTTCTTACTGTGAATTTGTGTAATACTGACCAAATTGAGAAAACAAACGATGGCATGTGGCTTTTTGATTATAAACAGTACAAAAATCATTTTAATTTTCCGTAATTTCAATGAATTTCTCATAAAATACTTGGCAAATGCCAAAAAAAAAAAAAAAAATCCTGGAGTTTCCTAATAATTATAGAATAAATAAACATGGAAATTAAACAGTACCATCAAGATATGCTTCCCCTTCCCCTAAGTTCTGTGTGTATATCCACTCATATAAACAATTAGGGAACTCCATCTATCTCGTCCCCTTGAGTAGACTTACTTCCTAAGGTTTCTACTCATTGTCATTTAAATCTTGGAACTGCATCGAAGAGGAAGCTTAACAATTGTGATTGTTTATTTTGTAGGTTTTAAAGAACCAAGAGTGCCAGAGAAGACCTTTGAAGTGTGAAGAGATTTCCTGTAATTGAAACCAAAATGTCATTTATAGATCCTTATCAGCACATTATAGTAAGTCATTTACTGTTTATATATTCTTTCTGGGAGGGGGGCAGATATATACTTCTGTGCATGAGATTGCTGATATTGCTACAAAGTAAAGACTCTATGACAAACCCTGGATTTTTAATGAAACTCATATGAACTCAATGTGGTACAAATAGACTATGATATATAATAAAACTAACCCATTTCTCTTTTTTTTAATCACTGTAAGTTTCCAGAAAAGAGGTAAGTGTAGGGAAAAAATACCGAAACTTCTGTAACAGTACTGTACTTTCATGGAACAATAAACAATGTAGTTATCACTTACCAATATCAGCCTGCATAACATACCCTTGATGTGAATTGGTGGAGAGAAGATGAAAGAACTATTGCGTCTGAGGGCTATATTTTGGTATGCATTTCCAGGGTAACTAATTCTGTAAACTTTCCCTTAGTTAGATATGTTTAAACAAACTCTTCCATGGGTGGTTAATTTTTAGTAAAGAATTGAGTAATTCAAATTTTAGTATGTAATTTTCTAAACTCCATGGGAAGTATGCATTCTCTCTACTGATCAAAAAAAACAGAGGAAAGATTTCTTTGATGAATTCAAAACTTGAGATCCAGTTAGGTTTATATGGACCAGAAATAGTTTTTATGAATATTAAGAAATAATCCACTATCTCATTTTTACTTAAAATGGAACATGGTTCTCTCCCACTACGTCCCTCTCTAGCTATCATCCTCTTTGTGTCCCTGCCTGGGTAGCAAGGATTCATATCCTACAATTCTTTGTAGTGCCTTCCGCCCTCCATTCACGGCTTGAATCATTGAGAACTGACTCAGCTCTTCTACTTCTCGAAAAGTCACATTAAGGGCCTCTTTGGTGCTGAATCTGATGGACTCTTAGTTTCCCCTCCACCTCCACCCCCACCTTTGCTGGTCATTTCCCTCTTCTTAAAACTCTTCTCAGTTTTCGCTGGTTCTGTTTCAGATTTCTCTGGTCCTGTTTCTTGTTTCTTTGCTCTTGGTTTCTTCTCAGTTTTCTTTGCAGCTTCTCTTTATGTTTGACTCTTTTTTTTTTTTAATTGAGGTAGACATATATAAAGTGCACACATCTTAAGTGTTCAGCTTGATAGATTTTAATGTATGTATCCCCCCAGTGAAGCCATCATCCAGATGAAAATACACAACATTATAAATACCCCAGAAGAGTTGCTCCTGTCCTTTCCAAGTCAATAAACTCCACAATGTTAACGAATATTTGACTTCTATTACTGTAGATAAGTTTGCCTGTTCTTGACCTTCATGTAGATGTCTGCATTCAACATTGTATCTGTGAGATTTATTCATGGTCTTATGAGTAACAGAATTCCACACTTTTACATGGCCATGTAGTATTTCATTATCTGAATACCACAAACTATTTATCTAGTCTACTGATAACCGTCATGTCCTCACTGAATGGCAGTGCCACCTTTGCTGTAAATCAGGCAACAACATATACCTGGCTTGATTTCTGTTCTGTTCTCTTGGTTTATTAGTCTTGGTTTTCCCCAAGACCAATCTACCTTCATTTCTGTAGCTTTGAAACATGTCTTTACACACGGTAGGGTAAATCCTCCAACTTTTTCTTCTTCAAGATTGTTTTGGCTATGTTCTGCATCTCCATATAAATTTTGGAATCAATTTATTAATTTACACACACGCACTCACAAACACACACACACACACAAAACTGCCAGGATTTTTATTGGTACTGTCCTGATTCTATAGATCATGATAACATGATATCATGTTATGATGGTGACATGGTAACAATATTGAACCTCTAAATCTATTTTCAGTTTTTTTTTTTCTGAGCACTTATCACTATTTATTGAATGCTCATCGTGTACCACTCTCTGTCGGTAGGCTCTGAGGATACAAAGGTGAATTGAAGAGAGTCCTATTTATTGAATGCTCATCATGTACCACTCTCTGTCGGTAGGCTCTGAGGATACAAAGGTGAATTGAAGAGAGTCCCTGAATTGAGCTTATGTCTAGCAGAGAAGTGAGCAATTTATTCACAATAACCATGATGTTTATTAAGGGCCCCGATAAGAGATAATGAAGATCACTCTGGGAAAATGCAACGTGAACAACTAATAACAGGAATCCTTCTGGAATTCCTAGAGGAAGTGACATGTAAGCATAGACCTGAACGTTTAGTAGAAGTTAGGAGATGAGGGAGAAAAATGACTTTTCTGGATTGGAAAAGAGCATATGTGAAGGAGTCTGGAGGTGAGAAAGTACATGATTTAAGGAAATGAAGGGAGTTCAGTATGCTTGGAGCATAAAGCATTTCAAAGGACATTATCATATCAAATGACCTTCACTCGTCTACTTAATCTGACCAGCGTTGGTACTGACTGCTGTGCAGTCCCCACATGGCTGTGTCAAATGACCTTGTGAGCTGGCTATGTAGTTTCTTCTTTAACATGGCAGAGCAGATTTAAAAATCAAACTGCATCTGGATAGTTTAAGACTCATTGCTGTCACTTTTTTTGGCAAATCTTGTGAACTATAGCTAAACATTGAGGCCATAGTAATTACCTATGTGGCACTTGAATATGCCGAAGCACACAAAAACCACATACCCGTACCACATTTTTCATTGCCTTCCCCGCATTTAGAGGTGGACACTCAATTAGTATTCCCATTTATAGCCCTGTTAAATGAAGAGGATCCTGAGAGCTTTATAGTTTTGTTCATTCTTCTTGTTCTTGCTGTGTGCGTATGAAAAAAACCTATATGCAAGTGTGTGTGTAAATTGTTTCAGGGACAAAATTCCATGCTCTAGTTTTCACAGCAAGATATTTTTCAAAATCTATGTGAGCGCACTCAACAGAACAATTTTAGTAAAAAGGAATGATGGGGAAAATGAAGCCTGTTAACTAGTAATGAATGGTGCCAGACAGGCCAACGCAGTTTTGGCTGCCTCAGGGCACAGAAGACTGGACTCGTTTTCACCACGCCTGTGATGCAGTGACATGTTGGAGAATCCTGTGGGCTGATGCAGCAATTTACAGTCAGCAAAGTTCTCTTGCTTCCAATGGTGCTGGCTTTGAAGAAGGTGGTAGAGGGCCAGCCCTGGTGGCCTAGTAGTTACATTTGGTCACATAAAAACAAAGAGGCAGATCAGGGCAAATCTTCCTCAGCAAAAAAAAAAAAAAAAAGAAGAAGAATGTGGTAGAAAATGGGGTGATAAATATATGGCAGAATTCAGTTTCCATATGTCAGAGTTGTGAGGTGCTTTCCAACCTGGAAGATATTTATTTCTCCAGGATTTACTGAAATTCTTTTGGACCAAGGAGACGTCAGTTTTACAAGGATAGATCAAGTATAAAATATTCGTAAAAATTTCCATCTTTTTACTCCGAAAATATGAATCACTTCCTTGGAGTTAAAAAAAAGCCACACCTCTTCCCACCACCTACTAGCAGTGGAGGGTCACTGCCCCACATCCACAGAAAGTAAGGTTGTCTTCACAGTAGAGACAGTCAACCACATGCTAGCATGACTAGTATGCCAGCATGACTGCCCGCTAAAATACAGGGGCCTTTGAAAAATGTCGTTGTAGGATGACTGGAAATTTTAGCAAAATGTATAAAGGTATTATTCAGATTATTACGGTAACACAGGGGGAAAAAACCCCACTGGGTACGTAATCAAAGAACTAGTGTTCCAGTGGCGGCCCCAGTCTTCGGTTACGTGCTCATGAACACTTAAACTCTGAGTTTTAACTGCTGCATATGGAAAGCAGGGCATGAATAGTACCTCCTGTGTCTGCCTCACAGGGCTTCATTAAGTAATAAGTTGTTATGTGTACAAAAGCATTCTTTAGAAATTTTATAAGATGGGAATGTCCAGGGGATCTCAGGTGAGATGCTGCTACTAGGAAACCAAAAATATAAAGGTGAGAAAACTACTATTACAAAAGCACAGCACTGTGCACAAACTAATAATGAGTTTATGGCAAATATATTTTTTGTGAGCACTAACAAATTCTAGAAAAGTGAGGAAGAAGACAATTAGTGATAAGCTTCTAACCTATCCCTGCCAGCAGCCATTCCCCGCCACAGCCTCTAACCTGAGGCGATGTGCACTCATTTAAAGGAATGTTCATGGTTCTGTTTCTTTGCTGCAGAACATAGATCAGAAATCCCTAGAAGGTCACCCAGTTTATTTTCAGTTCTTGAATTTCTACTTGGTTCTTTTTTAAATCTTCTCAACCATGTTTTTAGAGTTCCAGTTCCATGTAGTCATACCTAAGTCTGACTTCCATTTCCTTGAACATTGTAAGTACAATATGGCTGTCTCTATGGAGGGGTCCGTCTGTTTTTGGGCCTGTTAATTCATTGCCCTGGTTTGTGGTCTTGGTGTCATACCTCCTCAGCTTCCTAATTATCTTTGATTTTGCTTAACATCGTAATGAAAAATTACCTGTAGGAATAATTTTTCAGGGAGAATTTCATTTGCTTCTGTCAGGCTCCTAGGAAAACTAGCAGTCTGGGACAAATGTAATCCCAGTTTCAGGTTAGTTGTTTTCTGGGCTGCCTGGATGATGCTAAAATGGACTGGCAGTACACGGAAGGGCTATGACTTCCTATGGTGCAGTCCATGGAGTTTTCAACTTGAAATGCGGGGTGGTTTGCTCCGGTCCTTATCCTTGGAAGGCTCAGAATCCCTCAGGGCTGCTCAGTCTCTCAGCCTCCTCCTTTCTGGATCTGCAAATGGCCTCCTGGCAAAACTGCGCTCACCTCCCTGCATTTCTGTGCTCTCCTTGATCCTTGATCTCTGTCCTGGTAGTTAAAGCCTTCTTATCTTGTTACTTCTTTGTTACTATATTAGTCAAGGTTCTCCAGAGAAACAGAATCAAAAGGAGATAGATAGATAGATAGATAGATGGATGGATGGATGGATGGATGGATAGATAGATAGATAGATAGATAGGTGATAGATAATGTCTTAATTCATTCAGGCTG